GTGCATATTTCTCTCCTGATTTTAATGAGATAACTTTTTAACTATACAAAGCAATATTATGTATAGAGGACTTGTATTTCAGTTGGAAGCAACGGTTTGAAGTTAAAAACGATGGGTTTGTTTATTACAAACAGCTTTTCATTTCACAAGATGTTGAATGTGAATATCACAACAATGAATCAGGGTTTATAAATTGTTTATTGCTGTAATCTCCAGAAGCGCAGTCCAGAATTGGAATGCTGATCAAATTTACTAGTGAGAATAGCAAATATTCTCTGCAAACAAAACCAGATTTAATGGGAATATTGTGATCCTTGCTTTCAGTTATGCCAGCCACTCCTTTGATGGGCCGTCTAAGGTAGACTCTGGCAAAAGCAAGTTTTTACATCATCTCAAATATACAGTATAATGCATCCCTATGGAACACGACCAGCATCTGTTCAGTATTTCCATTTTGTCTTGGATCACATCTGGAAGCATCAAGTTTTGAAGTTACGTTTTAGCTCTGCATCGGTTTTATTTTTAGCTTGGTTCCCTAATAAACCTTCATGAGTTATACAGCACTGAGTTAAAGAACTGAATGTTAACCTATTCACAACAATACATTGTGAGAGACCTGTTGAGGCAGATACATAAGTCTAAATACATTATATCATTTATATCCGTATTTTTTATTGCTATTTACCTGTATTTTATGCGTTTTGTTGGACAGTCGTTTCATAGAGTGTTAAACATGGCATACTGTAGTTGCTGATGGAGTAAAGGTGTAACCGCAGACAGACGTCTAATGTGAGCTCATAACTCACTGCAAGCAGGTTAATGCTGTTCCCATGGTGTAAAATAACAGGAATCGTTCAGTGGTGATCATCTGTTCAAAAATGCATATAGGAACTGATTTTATAAGAATGTGATAAGAAATATGTGTGTTTGTGTAATTTTATTTTATTACACACACACACACACACACACACACACACACACACACTTAATATATACATTTAACACATTAAATAAAAAAAGAATTCTATAATTTATGTAAATATGTATGTTATATATAAAAAAATATAGTTTATATTAATTATAATATAACATTTATTAATAAAATATAAAAAATACATACATTATAGATACAAATAATATCTAAATAACTATTTCATTTATTATTTATAATTATTTTTGTGCTATATAAGTAGTAAGAATTAAAAAAAAAAAATTATCTAGGCAAATGGGTCAGTGTGAAACATGCTGGAGTCACATTTATTATTTTTTGAAGTTTTCTACTTTACTACGAATTTTAGCATTATTCTGAACACTTGTCAAGCACACTGTGGCTGTAAAAATTCCAGATCCCATGAAAAGCGAAAACGTGTAACCATGGTTCCCTGAGTAGGGAACGAGATACACACTTTCTAAACGCTTCGCTAGTGCTCGCCATAGTAGGAAAGAAAAAGCTCTTACTTTGCTTTTTGGAATGCACGCTTCAAACAGACCGGTCAATGAAGACGAAGAAGAGAATGATGTGTGCTCCCGGCGCCTATTTATACTATAGTCGCACCGGTAGTGACGTCATGGCTGTCGCTGGCCAACGAGTTGGTGTTTTTTCAATGTATGCTTCAGACACGGGTCACGACGAGGCGTTCCCCATAGCGACCCCTAGAGGACGCAGTTCGAAGTTCCCATGAAGGGGAATCAGGGACAGAAAGACAAAAAGAAATGTGACAAAAAGAGATAAACAAGTAAACAGTGAGGGCAGAGTGTCATATGGGCATATGGGGGGAGAGAAGAACGAAATGATAGAGAGTGAGACAGATAAACATCAGGAGAGAGATAGAAAGCAGATGGAGACAGGGATAAGATGAAGCTGGAGAGGTCAGAACAGTTGACCTTTATATAGGAGAGAAAATAAGAGCGAGAGAGTGAAAATAATGATGGTATCTGTTTCACGGTCAACACATGCTTCGTTTCTCCTCCTTGACACTCCTGTAGGGTTAAAGGTCAAAGGTTGACAGATGCAAGAAGGAGGGAGGGAGAGAAGCGTAGAAAGTCAATAAAATTCTAAGGTCAAACATCTACAGGGTGAACTAAGGAAATAAACCGAAAAAAAAAATCCTCTTTTGTTTTCCACAGAAAAAAAAAGTACGTTTTACAGATTTGGAATGACAGGAAGGTTTCATTTTTGGCAAACTACACCTTGAACATTTTTGAGACAGCTTGAACAATAAACAATCAATCATAATTTATTTCTATAAACACATTTTACCATGACAGAGAATGTCTACTTCAACTCCACTGACCTTTTTCCATCTTTCACACCATAAGACACACAGACGCCTTTGTCCTGAAGGGATGAACAGCTAGTTCAAACTCACACTCAGTACTGTTTACAGAGACTGCTTATGGCCTCACTGCTGAAGACGCAACATGGCTTCATTTATTAAATGTTTTATATCACTTTGCCATAATTAATGCTTGCCTTATTTACTGTTTGTTTTTAATTAGTTCATCAGAGGGCATTTCGGTGACCACCACGATTCAACTGAGTCACAGCACCAAAACAAACACTGAACGCAACTGTCAACCAATCAGATCCCACCATGACAGTAAGTCTGTCTCTCATCAGATTTTAAAAAGGTGTTCTTTGTGCCAGTTTTCTTCCGGTCTCAAAGTAAAGCATTGGTGAACTCCTTTGGAGGTCACAATGGTCCGTCCTACATTAGCTCATTAAAACTGATGTCTGTTGCAGTCCCGTGCACAAACTGACGCTAGAAATAACGGTCCACCCAGCATGTGCCAATTAACTATGATGTCAATAGCTGTATTTAAAAGGGCATGAAAAGGAGGCCAGGCTAAATGGGTTTTTGGTACACTGTATGTTTATGCATGCTGTCACTTTGGGTTTGGTAACTGTACATGTAGTTGATGAGGGATACGTCTAATGTGTTTGACTACTGTCTGTGAATTAGGGCTGGGCGATATGGCTATATCTCTATTTTCTACATTTGACTATTTGGATGAAAAAAAAATCTGTATTAATTAAAATTTTTTTTATTTTACATACAATGTTCATATTAAAAGCTATTAAAACAAATATAGTGAATGTAACCATTAGGCTATGCTATATAATAGCCTACATGCATAAATAGGGTTAAAATCACATTACATTCTAACACTGAAACATTACAATCTAAAAACAAATATAATGCTTAAGGCAGAAGTTAAATTCACTAAACAAAAAAAAAATTTTTTTTTTAATTGTATTAGGCTATTTTGATTGCCCCATTACAATAGTCAAATTTTACAGTTAGCAGTAGCAGCTCACTCCGTGTTTTCAGATGCGCTCGGATCAAACTACTGTAGGACCATATCGATATAAACGGTATTGCTTCATACCATATTGATAGTAAAAATATGTTGATATATCGTACAAACTCGATATACCGCCCAGCCCTACTGTAAATATGCTCTTAGGTAAAATGTACTAAAAGCCTGCTAAAGATTTATAGACTTTTAAATGGCTTGACTTAATTTACAGGCCAAATATTAAAATATTATTAGTATAAATTAAAACGTAAAATAATAATTGTTTTTCAATGGCCAAATGCCACCCAAGACCCAACACATTGAAATTTCAGACTAACATATTTTTCTGAATAGTTTATGGTCAAAGATTTTTCTTTTCATTCCTTTTCACTTCTGTTGAACATATTTTCCTAACTTTTCCATTTTAATGTCACTTTCTGGGATGGCGAGAGCTCATGCCAATCAAAACAAGGGGATGGGCCAGAATTGTCCTTGCTAAAATAAACATGACAGAGTCTAGTTTATTGTTTTATAAGAGCAGGCTTCATAACCCTGGACCACACAGACATGGCATGAGCTTTGAGAGGGAATAGAGACCTGGCATGAAACTCACACAGAGCCGCTAAGTAATGAAATCAGATGATTGGCCTAGTATCTAAGAATGAGATGTTCCTTTTAAAAGGAATAGTACAAGCCCCGAGCGTTTCCTGTCCCAATGTATGTCATATAGGAAGGCTGTAGTTTTGTTCGTTCTGCGTGAAATGGCCAGACGAAAAGAGCTCTCAATAGACATGCTGTCATATCGAGTTATATTCAATAACAATGAAATACTGCTCTCTGGGGCATTTTACATGCTCAAGTGACACTCTGGGACTCCTAGAGAGATCAAGTATGCAAACATAGGCTTTCATAGACGTGTTTGTAAGTGCAGAATGGCTCAGATTTGAAACATTTGTGACTTCAAAGAGTTTCTAGGGCTCTTCAGAGCTTTAAATACACAAAAGAGTTTCATACTGTCATCTGACTGGTTCAAGTACACCAGTTTTTAAACTATAGCAGTATGACTTAAGCTCATGTAGCACTTATGCAGTGACAATAGTTTACAATATAGTACACAGTATGCAAAGTGATTGATTTTTAGTAAGCTACTAAACTGTAGTTCGATACCAAACCTTTAGCTGTCATATCCCTGGATGTGAGCCAGGTTTAAAGTTTCAGTGTCAATGTAATTTCAAACAGAGGTTTAGAGATATTGGCCATTCATTATACTGTTGCTAACACAGTGATTGACCTCAGTTTCACCAAAAACAAACAATAAGAACAATAAAGGTCTCCAAAAGTCCCTGAATGCAGTATTTGTCTCAATATGAAACAATGCACTGTGAGGATTCTTATACACAACATTTGCACCAAACATTTACATATGTTTATAGTTTATCAATTCAATGTCATCTCAGTTCAAAACATAAACTGAAGCATTACGTGTAATTTAATTAGGGGGAAAAAACTGCTGTAGTTATTTATTTATTTTACCAGTACCAGGGGTTCTTTTGGTTTGAAGAGCTCTTGGCACCAAAACATGCAGTTTTTCTCAAAACTGTTATACTCTTAGAAATTTAACACAGCTCGGTAAAATGAAGCCTTCATAAAAGGGATGTTTTTAAGTAGTTCAAAGAGCAGGAAAAAAAATATTGCTGAGACAGAGATTAATTATTTATGTACAGATGTTGATGGTGAGTCAGTCGCAAAGTAGAACTGAGTAGTATTTCCTGTTTTTTAAAAAATCCAACATTTTCTGGTCTTACGATCCATCCAAAAAAATCTAGAAAAAACAGTAATATTGAGAATTTTCTCTACAATTTGCACTAACAATTTTCTGTTTAAATACATTTTAGAATGTAATTTATTCTTGTGATTACTCCAGTCTTGAGTGTCACATGATCCTTCAGAAATCATTCTAATTTGCTGCTCGAGAAACATTTCTAATTATTGTCACTGTTAATATTTTTGTGGAAACTGTCATAGGATTCTTTGATGAATAGAGAGTTAAAAGGAACAGCATTTATTTGAAAAAGAAATCTTTTGCAACACTGTCTTTACTGTCACTTTTGATCAATTTAATGCATCCTTACTGGATAAATATAAATTTTAAAGACGATTTTAAGACGAAAAAACTCAATAATATGGAGATGTTTTGCTTATGATGTAGCAATATTGTAATTGTGCAGAAACAGATGCATGGTGGGATTCTAAAATAGACCATAGGACTGCTGACATGGGGATTGATAAAGCACATTCCTGTTTCCATATGTCTTTCTTTCCAACCTTTTTGTCTCTCTGGTCTTTTTCCACGGCAGAAGCAGAAACAGGTGGACTTTGACAGGAAGGGCACAAATCCCTTGCTTAGACTCGCATACACCTTCTGACTTTGTGTTTAGGCACATGATGTCAGGTTAGAATTTATGCTGTTTATATTTCCCCCATACAGTGAATATTTATGAGTCCAGCTGTCCCTTGCTCAGTTGTCTTCATTAATGAAGCGTTTGACTTGTATGAAAAACTATCAACAAAATGCCTAAAAACCCATTGCATAGGAGATCAAAGCTCTGACCGAAAACACACTTCTAAGACATCTTGACCGTCCGTGTCAGGATTTGGCGAGGACTGAGCCTAACTGAGGAATGGTTTTCATACTGAAGACAAGAATAATGGGACCATTCCTCCAACATACACAGATACTGGAAAATGACGGCAGATACAGCCAGGTCGACTCTGAATAGTGTAGATACATTCCATCAAAATCACATCTGTGTATCAGTTAAAATATTTACGTAACGTAATAAGTGTCACAAATTTGATTTTCACATTTTGAAAGAAAATGTATGGTGTTCTCAGCATGTTGCTATGCAGTTGCTGGGGTGTTATGGGTGATTTCTCGAGTCTCTGTTAGTCTATGGGATTTTTTTTCTTCACACATGTAATAATGCGACAGGTAAAAATATTAAGCACAATTGCTTAGAAAAGCACACCTCTCTGCAACTAGCCGCACAATCTGTGGCATCACTCATGCAGCACAAATAGTGTGCAACAAACTAGACACAGAAGTTTAAAGTCAACATGAAATCAAAATCGGCCTTATTTACTTTCTTAATGCATGTTCCTAGTCTTCTTGTAAATGATTCATCAGTGCATGTTATTGCAAAGAAAAATAAATCACATTGACTTGAATTCTTAGGGTTTGGGTGTGTTTAAACCTCTAATCCAACCTGCTTCAGAAAGCACCACTAATGTGATGCATTTCCATTGCCTTTTAATAGATAATGTAATTCCTTCATGCAATTTGTACAACAAAATATAATGTCACTGCATGAACTCACTGTTTTTTGTGTGTGTGTCTGTGTTTGTGTGTGTGAAAAAGAGCAGACTGAGACTGAGATCTCAGGCACAGGAAACAGAGGGTTCCTGTTTTTTTGAGCCAGGCGCTATTGTCTCCCTCCCTCCCCCTCTCTCTCTCTCTCTCTCTCTCTCATAAACACACTTATCTGCAATTGTTCCCTTTAAATCATATTTTGTCTGCCCAATCCTAGAGGCTCGCACTGGAGCCATGGACTGTCCACAGTGCAGTCTTAAACCCTGAATAAAGGTACCTTTTCTGCTGTTTATTTTTAAACTTTCTATTCATCAAAGAATCTTGAAGCACAAAATATTAAGCAGCACAACTGTTTACAACATTGATAATAATAAGAAAAGTTTCTTGAGCACCAAATCAGCTTATTAGAATGATTTCTGAAGGATTGTATGACACTGAAGACTGGAGTAATGATGCTGAAAATTCAGCTTTGTCATCACAGGAATAAATTACATTTAAATATTTTTAAAACAGTTATTTTAAATTGTGATAATATTTTCCAATATTATAGTTTCACTGTATTAAATATATGAAACCTTGGTGAGCATAAGAGTTTTCTTTCAAACATTTAAAAAATACCCTGATTATATGTATTTGCTATGTACTTTATCTTTTAACAGTTTTTTCCAGTTGTGGGTGTCCTTGGATGCCCTCAAAATATGTCTTTGTCCAATTTAGTGCGCGTATGGGGATAATTTTGGACCCAAAGTGTAGTTAAGTAAACCTACCCAAACACACACAGACACACACTCAGACTCAGAGTGCAGATCTCTTCTCGCTGGGTGGTGGCAGGGGACCAGGGTTTAAGCATGTAAGCTATTTAAGCATCTGGATTTAATGCACCATTAAGGTCAACGGCTGACCAGTCTGCACCTGTAGCGCTCCTCACCAAACGCAGCAGCCCCTCCTCTCATTCAGCTGCCAGTGGACACTGTTTCTCCACTTTCTCTCTGTCATTTCACCAAAGCAGCATCCACATTCTGAAAGCAACGTTCCCAGTTGGAAACAAACAAACAAAAAAATTTTTTACAGCCTGATGCAACTGCAGAATGTGTCCCTGTCCCAAGCCCGACCTTCATCTTCTCATCTCATTCTTTAAGTTCTCTGCGCTGTTCTCCTCACACCCTCTCTCCCTCCATCCCCCTCTCCGTCTCAGTGCAGCCTGTTCTGTTGTGTCTGCCAACTGCTCTCTGCTGGATCACAGGTTTCCTGAGCTGGAGAGCCGGGGACTGGCAGTATCAAACACTGTGAACGGCCAACTTGCTTTTTTCTCACTGCGCTTCGTGTACGTTCTGCTCATTGAACACATACTCCTACGCAAACGCCCAAGCAGCAAAGAATCACACAGATTACGAGAAGAATCACAGCCATTACTGTCCTGATATAGACAGACAGATAGATGGAGAGATAGATAGATAGATAGATAGATAGATAGATAGACAGACAGACAGACAGAACGATATGGATAGATAGATAGATAGATAGATAGAAAGAATCACAGAGAGAACGACAGACAGATAGAATGATGGATAGAAAGATCAATAGAATGATCAATCGATAGACAGACAGACAGACATAGATAGATAGATAGATAGCATTGAGTGGATTACATTTCTGGGCAGAACTACAAATAGATGTCTTTGATAGAAATATATGCCTTTTGCATGATTTTCTTCTACATTAGTTCCATTTGTATGGTCATTTATGCTCTTAAATATTTGGTAATAATATTCTTAATGAAATGAAGGTAGTGCTGAACAAAACAGTAGTCTAAAAAGCTGCCAAACCCCCACACAAATGCCCTACTTTGCTACATTTCTTCTTTACAACCACCTGCAGTCTTGAAAGAGACACTCGCTGTGTCGCTGACACGTGTAAACATCACTAAGAATAACCTCGCGTTTGCTGTGAGGGTGATGTTTTCAGGAGCCTCGGTGCTGTCTGTGAGTGATGATGATGTTTATACCTTTTTGGCTGGTGAGGAGGTGTGATGGGTCATGGACTCGCTTCTGTTCTCTGCGCTGAATGGGCGGATGTCACCCGCGGCATCCACAAGACACTGAACTGCGCCAACAGCGCCAGACACAGAGAGACAAAAACAGCTTCAGACTGGCGTTTCATTTCCTGCCAGCATTAAGGATAAACGACTGAATCCCACTTGGCTATATTTAAATATATTTTAATGGAAAGCAAAGCATGCGTAAATAAATAAATATATATTTTTGTTAGGTTATAATTAACAAACAAACAAATATTGAAACAGGCTTTATAATCGGTTAATCGAATTTAGTCTTGCATTTTTTGTAGTACAGGACTCTGAAGACTTTACACTGCATGTTCCATAATGCTTCTCGGCATCTCACGTCATCAAAGTGCGTTGTTATTCCGAAAGTGGTGAGCTGGCTTTTGAGTAGCAAGTGAGAGAGTTTATTTCTATATTATCAGTGCATTTTTATTGTGCGTATATAATATTTAGGAGCTGATCATTGTTGCTAAGATGAAATATTGCCTCCGTTTTGCGCTGGTTGTCAGATTTCATTGTAAACACCTGTAATCATTAGCATTCGTGCTAGCTGTTCAATAAGAGTGAGGATCAGTGCGAATTTTAAACAACAGCGGTGTATTGACGATTATTTTTCTGTAATATTTATAACTTCTTTATCATGCGGTGTCGCCTGTCTCAAGCACTAGCTGTAAAAATAGTGATTGTCGCTTTTAATCGAATGCATTTCATTAAATTGTTTCTTGATAATGTGATATATACATATTTATCCTCACAGGTGGATTCTTCAATTATAATTTTGGCCTTCACCGTTCCACAGTCTTCAGCACAATGACCAAGCTCCTGGAGTGGCTTCTTGGTTTGTCGCTGATCGGCATGGCATGGGGACTCGTTACCTTTGACCTCCTTGATTTGCAGTTGCCTCCTCAGTATAGAGAGCTGGCGTGGCCAATGCCTGTATATCTGCTGGTGGCTTTTGGGTGTTATTCACTGGCAACTGTCGGCTACCGTGTGGCCACATTTAATGACTGTGAGGACGCAGCCAAAGAGTTGCAAGCACAAATAAAAGAAGCCAAAGAGGACTTGAAGAAGAAGGGACTGAAGATGTGAAAATAACATCTTACTGTTTCTCACATGCATCTACTTTGTTTTTGTTTTTTTTCATATTACAAATGCAAACAGTCTCATTGTTTCTGTCTACTTTGTGATGTCTGTACTACCATATGCACTCAGAACTGCAGCTCAAAGCTGTCCCAACTTGGTTCAAGTCTTTTTTTCAACATGTAAATAATAGTTTGAAATGTAAACACCTGCACACCTGTGAATGATCTATTTCCAGAATTATGACAGTCTTATTTAAAACATTACAGGCACATGCACGTATTGTCAATGTAGGGCAGTGCTATTTCTGTACAACCTCCAGAGAGTGTGTATTTGCATTGGCCGGGGAATGAATACGTCTGTTTTTGAACCAGTTGTTTTTAGCAGAGTCAGAATTCTGAGTCAGACTTAGAAACAAACCCACAATGTAGATTTGCGCTTGCACAAGGACAGCGTTTCAGTAAATCAAAATATGTGGAATAGAATTTTGATTTAAAATATAAACTATTGGGACTGTGTTAAGGCTCACAAACTGTTGTCCTTTTTGAAACCTTAAATTAGGGTTCTAAGCAATTTTTTGGTATCCAAGTAGTTTAAAGCACTTCTTAACAGAAGTGTCCTACATAGGGCTTTTCACATATGAAATAGTTAACCCGTGTCATTTTAAACACCAGGTAAATTGAATTAAATTTTTACTTCACGTTTCACACTACTCATAATTTACCCGGGTTAAAAATTAATGCTGTTTATTCATAAGATGATGTTTCACACTTTACATTCCTAAACCCCAGGTTAACGTTCTTATTTGCATATTTGTGGTGTCAATGTCACTGATTGGATGAACGCAGCACGCGACCTGTTTACATAACTCTAGCATCGCACACCTTCGTATTAGTAGTTATAATTTGCCGAATGTATGAATGGACTTTTAGGACTATAAAGGTAAGAATAAAACAGTCTCTTCACATCTTTCTTTTCTGCTGGGTTTTCAAAGCAAAATTGGATTGGCTCACAATCATCCAGATACACACTTTTTCAGATTTACAAATCTGGATTACTTGTGCTCTACGGAGCCCCTAAAGGGACATGGTGATTGAAAAAAAAAAAAAAAAGATAATGCTATTGCATTCTCTCAGAAAAATGTTGCATTGCATTCAGCCGACACAAATAATTACTTTTGACTGGTTCATCTCTGATGATTGTGCCAATGTAGTTTACAAACAGTGATTTAAAAACACTAAATTAAAAAAAAAATGTTTTTGTTTGATATTGATATTTTATGACACCAAAATCTCTTTTTTACTTTACTGTAGGAAACTGAAAGGCTTTAGAGGTAGCATAATGTCTACCTGTCTAATGTCTATATATATATAATGTGTGTGTATATTACATGTTACAAATGTTGTATTTTTGGACCAGTTTGAAAGTTTTATTACATTTTTGTGCTGCTGAGATCAGTATAATCCTGTTGTTGTTGTTGTTTTTTGGACCACAGGTATCCCAATCTTACTAAAGACTTTTGAACAACACAAACTGATGGTTTGATCCAGATCAAAACCAAGATTGGATTTTGTGATCTAATCTGATTTCAGAATCTTTTTTTTTCTTTTGAACAACCCATTTTCAAGATTTGATTCAATTCAATAGCTGAAATCCGATCAGATTCCTTTTGAACAACTTGCCACCGGGCTTAAACACCATCATGTGAAAAGCCATCATTTGTGTTGAAAAAGATTGTTCACCATTTCTTTGTGTTTCCTCAGACATGATGAAAATGAATGTTTGATACAAAATACAGAGTGATTCATTCTCAGTTGTTTAATTCTTGCTCTGCTGTACTCTGCCTTAGATTCTGATCTAAAAAAAAGAACTTTTGTTCTGTGCACATAAATTCTGAAATGTGATCCACGTCCATGTGTTGGCTCTTAAAACACTAATACAAAGCCACTAAGTGCACACGGGCGCTGTATATAGTGCTGAATTAATCTGGTGTTTTTGGCAAGCAAAATGCATTAGTTCTCTTCAGGCTTAAAGTAGGCTTTTGTAACTTTCATTTTTTAGGCCCTTTCTAGTGCCTGTGAACAGGCCTCTACCTGTCTGCAGAACAAGAAAAAAGTAGGTTTTTGATAAGTTTGCAGTTTTCTTCTACGACTGCTGATTGGCTCCTGTTCAAATCTCTGATGTCACCCCCTGCAGCCTCTTACAAGCTGTTGTTACTTAAGGCCTGTTTTTACAAACCCATAGTAGCATATGAGAGAACAGCATCAGCATTTTCTCTGCTGAAACCACAGAACGATTTAACACCACATTTATGCTTTGAGATGCAGTTTAAACAGCTGAGAAACTAAGCAAATGATTTCTATTGCAGAGTTTCGAATATAAATTTCTGTGCTTGAATTAAGAAAGATTCAATGATCTGATTCAATGACCCATTATTGAGAAGAAAGAGAGAAAATTGCAGGCTTTGCTTTCTGTTCCAAGGTAATTTTCTGATCCTGATCAATAAATCTCTCTGAAATGTAGGCATTGTCAGCCTGTGCATGTTTAAAGCAAACAAGTGAAAAACAAACACATATTCCCTTTTGTGTTCCATTGCGGAATGAAAATACGGATTTAGAACAACATGAGGGTGAGTAAAATTTTTGGGTGAACTGTTTCTTTAAAGGGGTCATATGTTGTTGTATTTGGTGTAATGAAAATCTATTCACGAACAGCTTGTAACACTCCAAAGAGAAAGGAAAACTTGAAATCGCATCATATGACCCCTTTAAATTAAGAAAATGTATAAAGTTCAACAGCTATTAGATGCTAATAAACTTAGTGATAGTTATTTTGATTGTTGGTTTACAAAGACTGATTATCATTGAATGCAACATTTTGTACAACGTGATTTAAAAACAAGCACATATATCTCTGCTGACCTGTTTCAACTGCCTTTAGGGGTTAGAGACGCCACATTTTGCGAAATATAAGACAGGTCATGCTGCTGTTGTACGTCAAGAGACCTTTATGCCCCATACTTCACATTTGTCTGTTATGCAACGTGATACTTCTTCTGGTCTGTTATTGTTGGGAGAATGAACTGGATGTGCCTCATTTTGATTGAATACATGGTTCTAATTCAAACCAACAGTGACCCAAAAACTGATCTGGACACTTAAGAAGAGAAATGTATTAATGTTACTGTATTTGATCATAAAATGGTGTTAAATGTAACAAAAGATTTTAAAAATAATAATAATACACATAACTAATACACATAAATTAAAAAATGTTAATATATATAATTTTCCAAGTCTTCTGAAGTCATACAACAGTTTTGTGTGTGAAACAGACTGAAATTTAAGACATTAATGAAAATCTTGGTATCTGCCCTAGCTCTCCTTGTCATATTCATGTCCAATTTGTGAATGAATAGGTCTTTTGTGTCTGAACTTTTTGATGAAATGTTGATCTAAAACAGGTCTAAATGATTTGTTCACAAATTTAACTGATCTGGTCACAGCGATTCATAAGATAAGAACTTCATAAGATTGCCATTGAATCTGAGAAGGAAACAAATCAAATTTAATACAGCAAGGCTTCAAGAGACTTATATAAAAATGTTAATATATATATATATATATATATATATATACAGTATATATATAAAATAAAAAGTAAATTTAGTATTTTTTTTTTTAGTATAGTATAGTATATTATTAGTATATTTTTATTTACCTAAAACATTTTCTTTAATATTTTCTCAGATACAGTGTTTAAGTATTTGGGCTATGAGAAATAAAGCAATGTCTAAACAGCTATTTGGCTATCAGTTAACACTTTCCAGTAGCATGTACAGCCAAAGTTATGTCAGGCAAAAAGGAAATTTGTGAATTATTACATTTTGATTACGAAGATTACAAAGACAAACATTATTTTTCCTTTGGAATAACATGCACTGATGAACCATACACAATAAAACCAGGAATGTGTATCAATAATGTAAATAGCATCAGTATTGATTTCATGTTGACTTGAAATGATATTCAGGAAAACTTAAAGCGCACCAAACATGTGAATGGCCTAAAATGTCTGAAAATGTCTGAGTAGTGTTGCCAACATATGAACAAAGAGAAATCCTATCTGGAGTGCCAGCTGCCAAACTTTCTCTAGAGTCTTGTTAAAATAAATACAAATGTGAAAAAGATGGAAAAATGAGTAGAAGTGTGGAGTAATGCCTGAAAACTTTACCTCCTCTGAAGGTATGTACGTCAGCGAATGTAAACCTTATTGTTTAAGCTAATTAGCTCACTGTTTCAGTAACATGTGCTAGCAAGGTGTGTTTGTCAAAGAATTCGAGACTGTGGAACAATTCCAGCTTCCTTTCTCCATGACCTATAAGTCGCTATCCAAATATGCCTTTATTAGGAGAGAAACCAGTAGAGACCATCTAAGAGTATGTAGAAGAAGACAATACGTCCTATAACGTTCCGAGACGTTGGTGCTCACCACAAGAGTTTGTGTTACATGTTTGACTCAATAGCTTATTAAATTGGCCGATCAAAATCTTGGTAAAGTTTATGGTTTTGGCTTGACTGACTCTTAATCGAAGCCTGAGATCGGCAGCTCTGTAGGAAAATTGGCTGTATCAGACTCAGCAGTTTGGTCTGTGCTTTCAAAAGTAGTATCGTTTATTGTTTAAGCTAATTAGCTCACTGTTTCAGTAACATGTGCTAGCAAGGTGTGTTTGTCAAAGAATTCGAGACTG